TATTACTAAATAATCCAGAACTGATCCTTAACCAATTTCCAAAAATGCCCACAGCCTAGGGAAAATGTAGTGGAGGGAGTTTATAGTAGAAAGAGACCATTCAGTTAAATCTTCCTTTTGCAAATTTTACAAAAAACGGTTGACCACAAAACCCGTTAGTGCCCACTCCAGGACTTTAGAAAGTTCCCATGCAAGCCAGCAGCCCTAAAGCTTAAGCATCAAACACTGCTGTCTGTTTAATCTTTGAAACCTGTAAATATGATCCTCATAATTCACTGCTTAAAATCAGTATTTCCCACTCTTGTAAAGAATAAAACCCAGGCTCTTTGGTGTAACATTATATCCAGGCCCCTTCTACTTCCAACTCTCCACTCACTCTCTTGCATACATTCACTGTTCCAGACAATTCAGAATTACACGTGAGGCCCTAAATAATTCATGCTATCTCAGAAAATCATTCTTTTATAGATACCTTCATACCTAAAGCCCCTTTGCCTAAGCTGTGCTTTACCTATCAGCTCCTACCCAGCTCCTTTCTAAAGCCTTCCATGAACTCCAAGTCTCATTTATAAACTAACTCTCTATTCTCCCCATTAAACACTGTGCTTACCTTCCTTATACCACTAGCACTCTTTACTATAATATTTGATTTTTAATGATCTGTTTTTCTCACCAGACTAAAATATCTATAGCCCATGTCTTTGTAATATTTTCCCTCAGCTCCTAAATCCACCCATCCCCAAAATTAACCCTGAAAAAACTGCAGATACTAGGGAGATGCAAATGGTAGCTAAAATAACAATGACCAAAAAAGAAGAGAGAGAGTAAGAGAAACTAAAAACTATGATGAACTTATATGGGTGAATGAATAGAAAGAAAAACTAGATAGGTTGAAGGAAAGTTTTGAAATTCTGCTTTTGTTTCTTCACTGTGTTACCTTGGACAATAATTTTCCTTCTCCATCACTCCAAAAAATTGACAGTAACAGCCCATGTAGTCCTTTGTTAAGATCTCAGAAAGATCTAAGGCAGTGTTTCATAGAGGCTTTCAGCGAGACTAAAGGGCTTCCAATGGTCATATGGGTATGCCTCAAAGACCTTCTCTGTTAAACAGAGATTCTAAGATTCTCAAAGCTTTACTGCATAGCAACCACAGGGCCTAAGATAGAAAACTTATCTTAAAAGAGATTTGTAAATGTGGCTTTCATCTAGTAGAATGAACTCCAGTGAGATTCATGGAAAACCCACATTTTTCAATGAACAGCATAGACAGGAGAACTATCATCTTGAATTAAAAGGAAATGAGTATAACATTGTAAAAGACACCTCCCCCACCCCCACCCCCACACTTCTATGGGCATGTAGCAAGCTGAGAAGGCCACCCAGCAGCAAACAGAGTCAGTTTCTTAAGGAAAAGGAAGTCTAGCTCAGAGGAGAGACTCAAGAGCCCAGAGGGTAAAGCCAGGACCTTCAGAGAATTTTCCCAGGGAGCAGGACTGGTCCTAATCAAGAGATTGGTGGTATGTGTTGAAGTGGATTTCAGAACTGCCATAGACTAGTAACTGCTATGTGCATCCTGCTTCTTTAACTGAAGTGTTATTGTAGTTGTTCAATCTCTTAACCACATTTGGATGTTGAGGGGATACTGGGGAGAGGGGGCAGATTTAATTTTTCTTTATAGGTCTTCAAATTGAGAGGTACTATATTTGAGGAACCGTACACATAGATACTCATGCTCATCTGGATCTCATTCAGATGGCTAAATAAAGACTTTTAAGACAACATCACAATGAAATGAGACTTTGTGGGTGGGGGACTTGAGAGGGGTAGGGGTATAGGAAGCTCAGCTACCCTGAGATTATCCTGCGGTGAGTAATACAAGATGCCAGGTGGAGTAAATGTGGAAGGAGAGTTTACTGAGCAGTTCCCATACATCCCCCAGCTATTCCAAACATCCCAGTCCAGTTGCCAGATATACGAGTAAATAAGCCATCTTAGAAGTGGATCTTCCAGCC